GCAGGAATGTGGGAGAGATGAGGAATTCCAGTTCCTGTCTTGTGAAAATGCTTTCAAATGTGACCAGAGAGTCCAGGAGAGGTGGAAGGAGGCCCTCATTTTCTTATAAAACTCTAAAACTCTTATAAAACTTCTGCATTAAATCAAGAGACACAGTCAGAGCTCTTAGTCTGGTGCATTAGGAAGTGAGGGTGTGGTAAAGCTGACATTTCTCAGAAGCACTGACATTTTACATATAATCTTTTCCCTTAAAGATCTCACTAGGTGGACATCGCATCTCTCCTGCCTCAGATACGAAGCCAAAGATGTTCTAGAAGGCATATAGCCCTTCTGTTCCCCTAGCTGCCCTATGTCATCATATTCCATTCCTATTTTTGTCCCCTATCTCCCGCTTGGTGGGTCTTCCTGCAGAAGGGTAACATATAGACACTGACACAACGAGACAGAATTTGAAAGGCTCGGGCAGGGAAGAGAAAAATGACTTCTTGTTTTAAACTGGATTTCGACAGAAGCTTGACAGAAAGCTGTGCTCCAGCCACAGCCCCAGTTCTTTAGCGTGCTGCCCGGGTGTGCAAACTTACTGCCACCCAAATGCCACCAGTCCATTCAAGAATGAAGGGAATAAAAGGAGAGGGGGGAAAGGACCTCGATGGAGCAAGAGACAGCTGTTACCCAGTGTAAGTGGGAGAGGGTGTGTCTGAAAGTTCATGCTCCTACCCATCGGTTCAGACCTTGAGTTCCTTCACAGCACCGTTGTCACTAACCTCAGAGAGAAAAGACAAGATGAACAAACAAACGATGAGCAAAACCTGATGGGAAATTGAAAGCCACCACGATAATGATGGCAATGAAAAGAGAACCCCAAGCCAGCCACGTGGATAGGACTCATTTTCGAGCCTCGCCGGTGGAGTGAGAGAACGGTGATGTATCAAATTGGACAGACAGGAGAAACCCTGCCCCCGAGGAAAGTAGAAGCAAAGGAATAATCAGAAAAAGGTGGTATAGAAGGTGGCGAAAGGGTTTGAGTATGTGATGGGTCAGGGACATCGCGGGAAGATGGGCTGGAGCTGGATTTGTCGCTGTTGTTGGTTTGTATTGAATTAAATGCTTTGTAAAATGGGTATTTCCTCCATCCTGTTGGATTGATTAAGACTCCGCCCTTTCAGTTCACTGCCAGGGCCTAGTCGGGTGAAGGTCCTGGGGCTCGGGTCCTGAGGCTGCCTCTCCAGGGCTGCTGCGGCTCAGAACCCCCTGATGTAGCAGTAGGCTTCCAGCGTGGCAAAGAGTATGTAGAGAAGCCACAGGCTCACAAACAGCCAAGTCGTGGCCAGCTTGCAGCCACGAGGGCCGCCCAGCTCCCCGCCCAGGTGGGGCCGCCGGCGGTACAAGAGCACGCTGATGCACACAAATGCAAAGATGGTGAAGAGGGTGACAGAGAAGGCCAGCGTGCCCGCTGACACGTGGAACTCCTGTCCCTGCAGGGCCCAGTAGATGGCGGCCACGGACCAGGCCAGGCCAATGCCCAGAAAGACGTTGACGGCGTTGCTGCCCGTGACATTGCCAATGGAGGCATCTGCGTACACATCCTGGATGGCGGCTGCTTTGCTGGCAAACGTATCTGAAAAGAGGCAGAGACAAACAAGAGCTGGTGGGAGGCTGAGGCGTGGAGGGCCTACCTTTGGGGGTGTCCAGTAAAGCAGCTGGGGCCATCAGGCTGAGCCTGGGAATGACAGGTGGGGGGTTGGGGGCTACCCCCAGCTCTGCCATTAATAAGCTGTGTGGCCTTGGATGGGTCACCTTACTTCTCTGGGCTACCCGTTCCTCATCTGCCTGCGTCTGAAAGATTCCCAAGGTTTCTTTTTCTGGTCCTGGTATTTACTGAATGGGTTTATTGTTCTCTTTTGACTACTTTTTCAGTAAGGGGAGTTTGCTTTCCCATAATATCTCCCCAGGGAACTTTGACATCCAGGGAAGCTTCTTACAGTTAAGTGCCTGATTGCACCTGTCACACGGGGCATTTACTTATGTAACAGACTGTGATTGAGCCCACCTAGCATTGCGCTAGGTGCTGGATTTATGGGGACAGAGGACATGCTGGGGAACCATGATGGGGAGATACAAGGGGAGCTGTGGGCTCAAGGAAGACGGGGCTCTGCCTTGGCAGTTAATATACAGAGCACAGGGCCTTGCAGGCTGTTTGACTTTAGATGTCAGCATGAGTTGTAAGCACTGGAAGGACTGCCAGCCACCCTTTTATTTGACAAGTTAGGAAAAATAAGGTTCAAGGAATCTACTCAAGGTAAGTTATCAGGAGATTTGACCTGAAAACCCTCATGCTAAGAGCCCTTTCCATAGCGTCACCCTAAATCCAAGGAGCTTCAGCCAAAGCCACACATCAGCTGAGTGGACCACAGGATAACCTTCAAGCCCCTAATGCTGCCAGCTGTTCTCTGGACGCATTGCAAGGACTTGGATGTGCCCCAAATGCTCCCTTGCCCGGCTTATCCTGGCTTGCCTCCTTGTTGCCAATTTTCTCCCAGAGAAAACCTCTTGCCTTTTCTCGCCTATGACCTTGCTTTAAAAAATTTTTTTTAACCTCCGATTCTCTGCAATTTCTTCCCACATCTGTTCCTTTTACCCACATCTGCTCCTTCCCCTCTGATAGCTCCAGTCCCTCGAGGCCCTGGAGCACAGAAATAAATCGCACATGGAGATTTATAAACTCCGCATGGAAAGGGAAGCACGTCTGTCTTGTTTCCCATTATTGTCCCAGCAACAAGCACAAGACTGTATCAGGCTCAGTAAACATTTGTCTAATGAATAAATAAGGCATGCTTGTTCCTCTTGATCTTTAGGTGTTTATAAAAAAAAAAAAAAGAATATGTAATTCATCATATGAAAGGACAAGAGCTTGTGAAGCTTCCCACCTATCCTGCTGGGAGACACTTTGTATTCACAGGTGTCCTAAGCAGAGGAGGCTGGTGGGCATTTCTCCAGCACATCTTCAAGCAGGCTAACCTGCAGCCAGAGGGAAATGGCCTATTCATCTGACGTGGAGGTTAAGAAATTGGCCACTTAACTTGAGCAGGTAACTTAACCTCTGGGGCCCCACTTGACAGATGAGGATAATAACACTCCTTACTGAATAAGGTTTGGGTGAGCACTACAGGTCTAAAACAGGTGAGCTGCTTAGCAATACATACTTCCTGGCACATCAAAAGTGCTCAAGAAATGTTAGCTATCATTCTTAATAGTGGCAGTGACCCCTTTGACTGACTTCTGTGCACCTTAGGGGCAGAGGCTCTGTTAAGCTCAGATCTGAGATGGTAAGGAAGATAATGAGGCAAAGTGTGTAGGGGTCACTTGAACCAGGTAATATCCTCTTCACAAATGCAAGCACCCCTCACTCTCACCTGGCACAGAGGTGCCAAACGCCACAAAAACAACAGCCGTGACCGAGTCCTTGAGGCCAATGGTGCAGCCAAAGTGGGAGGCCAGGTCCCCGATGATGGCTGTGAGCATGCCGATGATGAGAATGGAGACGACAAAGCAGGCCCAGCCATGGCAGTACTCTGTGGGGGGCACGCAGGCAAACAGCACCTTCCAGAAGACCGTTAGGAAGTGCATGACGTAGTCAAAGCAGGAGGGCAGCCTCTCCTCGCCTGACTCATCCTCATCTTCGTCCCCTGCTGCAGGCAAGACAAACAGGCCCGGGAAAGGATAGCGGGGTCAGATCCCCATTCATGAGAAGGTCCAGTCCAACCCACGTCGTAAGCATCACTGGCGGGAAATTGAAAATGAGTTGGGGTGCCCCCATGGTCAATTTGAATTCAGGGTACCCAGGGAGAGTGGGTGAGAGAGGACAGGGGAGTAGGAAAGGGAAGAGAAGGAGATGAAGAGAAAGGATGTGAGAACCTGAGAGGGACAGGGCAGTGGGGGAGAGAGGGAGGAGGATGGGACACCCGTGGGGCTCCTCTCTAATCTTCCTGACGTGACTGCTGCAATAACCTCGTGGTTCTGGTCATTTTCCATCCCCAGCTGGACAGCTTTCATTCCAGATCATGTGGGCATCCTGGGGAGACAGTGCCATCCTCCAAATATCCCGTGGGATGGAGCAGGGATGGGCCTGGTTTGTCCTTGCCAGGAAATGTGGGCAGAGTTGCCCATTCAGCAGTCCAGGAGGAGAGAACGTGCCGGCGCCCTGTCAAAGGCAACCTCTGTCATGTTTTGACATAACCGGTGGAAGCAGGAGTCAGGACACTTGGGTTCCAATTGCAGCTGTGCTATGAAGAGAATCTGGAACCTGGGGTAAATCATCTTTGATTTCTGAATCTCGGCTCCCTCATTTGAAAAAGGAGGGAGTTAGATTATGTGGCTGATATTCCGCTTATTGTCTCTATAGGGGCAAAGAAAGGTCATCAGAGGTGGGACTGGGTGTATCTGAAGCAGGTGATAGTAAAAGAGGGGTAGCGAACGCAGCAGCAGTGGCCCTCTCTTCCTGGCTGTACTTTGGCTCTGGTGCTGGGACCTCAGGGATGTGACCCCGTGGGTTGCTATGACAACAAAGCTTCATGAAAAGAGACAAGGCCAGGAGTGCGGGGCAGTACAGGAGGCCTCCGTGGTGCTCTAAGAGGCAATGCTGTGAGTGCTGGCAAGACCCCTCCCATCCTCATGCCAACCCGCATGCAGGCCTCTGGGATGCTAGCTGTGCTGTGGGTCCCTACTGAGGAAACCACTGTCACTAACTGCCGAGGAGAGGTCTGAAATCATCCAGGGCAGGGGTTTGCCAGTCACTGCAAAGTTTTTACAAACCCCAGACCCCCACATCTCTAAATCAGAATAGTCCCGCATTTTACAGAAAAGGAAGACCAAATTAATAAGAGGACGGAATGATGTAAAACAGAATTTCTTAAGTTCCTGCTCAGTAGCAGACTGTGACGCTTTCTACTCTCTTTGCTGAGAAAGGTAGCAATAGTTCCCTTTTTGGATGAGGAAATCGAAGCACAGAGAGGATAGCTTGTCCCAGTTCACACAGTAGAACCAGGGTTTGAAACCAGAGATAGCCATGCTCTTCTAGTTACCCCACAGTTCTCTTCCAAAGTGACTCAGTGAAAAGGCAAACATCTAGGGTTAGAGCTGGGAAGACTGGCCACAGGGGCCTCCCAGAGACTGGTGAGTTGTTGACATGGCTGTGTTCTTGCTTCCCTGGAGCTGCCTGTGCCCATCCTGAGACCCTCTTACCTGCACTGACAGTGATGGCCTCCATGAACTGGTCCCTCCAGGAATGGGTCCCCACAACCAAGGCCAGGTTTGTCTTCCTGATCAGCTTGTCCACGGTAGTCTGTCAGGAAGATTAAAACTTGGAACCATGAGGTTAGAATGCTCAGAACCATTGTAGAGTCTGGCACTTCATGGGAATGAAAGATACCCTGTACTCCAGGGGGCTGCATGTGAGTTCTGAAAGTTATGCATGGAATGGCCTTAGGGGGTATCTTCTGGCACAGTCCTTCTATTGTCCTTTTCTTCAGTTGTGACTGCTAACATTGGATATTTAGAGCAATACAACAGAGAATAACACTAATGATGTCGGTAAACCTAGCCTGGAGTAGTGAATTTTAGTATATTTGTTTTAAAAATACAATCAAATAGTGATGACACATTTAGGAGCTTTATAGCTCATTTATTCCGTAGGCTATGTTATGTTTCCTCACAATATTCCTAAGATACAAATGGCCAGCACTGTTTGCTCCGCTTTACAAATGGGAAAACTGAGACTGGGGTAAGTGAGTTGTTCAGTTTCAACTTCACGTATTCAGTGGTGACATTGGAACAAGGCTCCAGGTCTTCTACCTCCCACCTCATTACTTTATTATTCAATTACATCTCACTTATGGCCTGACCTTGAACTCATAGGACTCTTCAATGATGACCTCTAGTTTGGGGTGTTCACCCAATATTGGCTTTCCCATTTCTGCTATCCTCTTGGCTTCCTCTTCCTCCACAGTCAGCTTCCTGTCTGTCACCTCTGCAACAAAGCAAAATCAGACTAGCTTTAGCTCATTTGCCATTCCCTGCAAGTCTAAAGCTCAGGGTACTAGGCATGGGCAGTGGGCATACAGCAAATAGCTCTTGAGGATGAGGATTTTGTGTACTTTTTAGTGCCTTTTTCTATAAGGTGCTAAACACTTTATGATCATCAGACCATGAGAGTGTTCCTTGCAGGCCTGGGCTAAACATTCCTCTTTTGATTTTATACCTGGGTGGGCAATCTGACCCAAGGATCTTCTGAGAAATAGCACCAAGTGAAGTCCCAAGACATTTGGTGAGATATTGAAGAGCTGGGAAGAGAAGCCAAATCTCTTGACCTTTAACAATTTTGAACTGTTGGGTATGACTGGTCAACTACGTCATGTAAGGGTTCTTGGGGGTCAGAAGCACATTTTCACCCAAAGGGAATGTCCACTGGTTCCCATTAGCATCTGTCTCCAACACTCTTGGGAGTGTTCTCCTCTATAAAGGAGGAAGAAGGGATATTTCCAGGAATATCTGCATTTCATACTAGTGACTATTATCCTCACCATGAGAAACTTGGAAGATTTCCCCCCAAACTTCATGATTTCCAAATGAAAGATCCCCAGGATTTCTAAGGAACCAGGCACATTTCTTCTGAAACACAAATACTTGTTCAAAAACAAAACAAAAGAAAGCTCTTCCTCTATTTCCTTTTGAGGCATCCCCTGTCACCCCTCAGCATCTTAACTCATTTACCGGTGGTCCCTTCTCATGCTGAACAGTTAGACATTTTTTGCACTTCAGCTGGTGAGTCCATTTTAAGACCACTTCACCATGAAGACGCGTTTTCTAGATTAAAGTGGAATAGAGATTGTCTTTTTATTCCCCTTTGATTAGAAAATTGCTCTTGGCGTCCTGTTTCTTTCAGAGCTCGTTTAAACATCTTTCCAGCCGAGTCCACATTCTTACATGCAATTAATTCTTTTATTTGGCTCTTTAATTGCTTTCATTCCACACAGTGAATCTCCTGGGGGAATTCTCTAGTCCTTGAATAATCTCAAGGACAAAATGGGTCAGAGGCCAAGAAGGTCTTCTCTTCTTTTTATCTTGGGACTTTGTGAAGCATGGGGAGGGGTGAGACTTGAGCTCTCGAGGTTGCAAGGAAAAGAATTCACTGGAAAGATTATAAGCCAAGCAGAGAGTCTGTTTTATATAAGAATTTCTGAGTTGTCCTGAATGAAACTGGTAAGAGACTATGCGGAGGATTCCTGAGCTGGCTGTTTTACTCAGGGCTTCTGGCACCAAACACGGAAGGCTATCCCAAAGCGTTGGGGAGCTGTCCGTGGTGCTGTCCTCCACTTTCGGAAACAATGATTTCTCAACGATCAATGTCCTCCTGTACATTTCTGTGCAGACACCCCCTAGCAGCCTGACTTCATTTAGTCCATATGAGCCTCTTAGTAGTTAATTCTGAATATAAGTCTGGCTATGAAGTCAGTGATCCTAGAAGCCAGACTGCAAGCCACTCTGAATAAAAGTCTTTGGAAAAAGATGTATACGTAGATTCTTTAAAAGCATGGGTACTCTTTTCCTCTACTTGTAGCTTTTGGCACCATATCGCAATGCCTATCCTAGTAGTGACAGTTTTGTTCCACTCCTCCCTCCCCGATTCTGCCTTGTCATATTTCACATGTGCCACAAGAACTTTATACCAAGGTAATGAGCTCTCCAGTGACTTATAAATGTACCTGTCTAACCCCTTGTCTAGCTATCAATCTAGCACCATATCCATCTGGCAGGATATTGATCTAGCTACTGACCTGTCTACCCCTGTGGTGACCATCAGTTTTTCCTTTTAGCTCTCTGCAGAAATCTCTTTGACAAATAACCAATCCTCTATCTTTTGATCTCCCACAGCCCCACAGTACCCCACAGAGGTACTCTCTCACTCTCTCTCTCTCTCTCTCTCTCTCTCTCTCTCTCTCTCTATATATATATATATATATATATATATATGTTAATTGATTGATTCACATGCCTTTAAATCAACTCTGATTTAGTATCTGGATTTGGTATCAATTCCTGCCTTTTTCTACTTCTGTAATTATCATTCCTTTACATTCAAATAGGTAATTTCTTGAGAGAGTCATAAGTCTCAAACCTAAAAGACCATAACTATTCTGATCACTCGTTTATGTAACTCCTCTGAATTTCAAGTGTAGAGAATAAATGACAGGTGATCTTGATATTCAGACTGACTAAACAAACTCTCAGGTCTAGGAGAAGGAGGAGGAAGGAGAAAAAGAGAGAATTGGACTATTAATAGGATGGAAGATTAAACAGATATTGGAAGAGAAAAGAGCTTGCCAGGTAAGACTGGAATAGATTGCCATGAATGCTCTACAGACATCCTCGGAAGGAAATGGGGTGATGCAGCCAGTGCTCTGACTCCCAGGTCCCTGAGCTTGGTGATGTAGTTCAGATTGAACATATTTTCTCTCCATCTTTCATCACCAGGCCACTGTGAATCATGTTTGCTTGGCCACCTGGGAAAATCCAAACACGGAGTTGAGATTTCCAGAGAATTTAAAGTCTAGCCAAGGGCTCCTAAATTGCAGGTGTACAGATTGAAAGATCTAGGAAATGACACCTTCTTTGCCTGTTTTAGCTTCTACTGGTATCTGTGCCAATGTGTTAAAAGTATAACGAAGCTTAAATTAAATCACAACCTTTGGTATGTGCATATGTGTGTGGCTGGTGGAGGGGGAGAGGCAAGCATTGGAACAAAAAAGCCCAAATGCCTCCTCAGACGAGAAGATGAGTGAAGTGGAGAACACCCGATGCTCTGACACTGAAACCCTAAGAGAAGAGTGGAATACATGGGGTCGGAGATAGTCATTATCCTATTGATATAAGAGGAAGCAAGAGGCCAGGGAAGCTGGAGTAATTTTTTTCCATAAAGGGAAAATGTAGGGGTTTACCTCCATATATCTTTTATTTTGGTTTGAGACTCCAAGGAGGTAAATGTCCTTACTATGTACCCTGCCCCTTCCTCAAACTCAGCGTACAGCCTATGGTGACTGAGTACCAATGAATTCTGTAAGATGGTTTGCCTCTCAAATGACCTTAAAATTTTTATACATTCAAAGAACTAATGAAGTATAAAATGTTATTTTAACATATGTTGAGACACCTTGTATAGCTCACTCTGCCTGCACCAAGAGTTACAGTATTGCCGACGTGCTGGAAATGCTTTCCTAACTGCTCACAAAGTTGGACATTGTCTATGATTTGATTCCACTGATGCAAGCATACTCTCAAAGTAGATGTGTTTCCTACAACAGGCTCTAGACTCTGCGTGAGAACATCTCCAACATAAATTCCCCCGAATTTCTCTATACAATCAGATCATCGCCCACCCCCTCCCGCCATAATATTCTAATTCTTCTTCTTGTTCATGGCACATGTGACTTCAAGGATTAATAACAAATGAACCAAAGTTCTAGAAATGTAGGTCTCTGCTGTGATGAAATGGAAGATCTTCAGGATCGATAAAATACCAGATTCCTTAAAAATTGCTTTTCATGTTCTCACAGCAGCTCCTGATTATTTCTCCCTGGACCCCTCAAGATCAAAGAACTTTCTTTCTCATCCCATCATGATCCTATTAGGAGAGTCAGCTCTGACTCTCATCCTCTCTTGCCCCACAGCATGAGATGACAGAAGAATTAAGACTCAGGAGAAGTCTATGACCCACCATTTCTTTGGTAAGTTTCAGTTCTCTTCCTGGTCTCAGAGAGGACCAGCTATGCCTTTACCCACAACCACTAAAATGGTGCTCAAGGAATTGTCTACCTCCTCACAATTACTTCAGGTAGGGAAATATCTCCAAGTCCTTAGGACAACTTGTTAGGTTAAGTTGGGCCCACAGTTCCTAGTAAATAAATCAAAGGACATTGGTCTTAAACTAAATAATGGCACTGACAAGAAGCAGAAAAAGGGGGGAAGACTCCCCTTACCTGGAGACAACAGGAGCGCTGTTTGCAAATGGGTACCAGACAGGGGAAGAAAGAAAAGGAAAGAGCATTAAGGTCCCATCTTAAAAGTGTCCCCAGGCTTTGTGGTTGCAGTAGCACAAGGAAAGCAGTGAGCTTAGTAGATGAGAACTTTGCAGCCACATGCAAAAGGCAGCAATTGGAGCATGCACAGCAGCAGCAACCGCAGCAAGGGGCGTGAACTACTGGAGAGACTGCTGAGCACCAGGGGCCTGCAGCTGCAAATTTTCCCCACACCTTCCCTGCAACTCTGAGGGCCAGGGACAGAGGAATGAGGATGGGGGAACCAAGCAGATGGAGAAGAGACAGAGTTGGTCATTTGTGGTCTTCTAAGGGATCAGGTTATCACATCCATTCTGTAAAGGAGTGAGAATCCAGTTATCTTGAAAACTGTACAGGTGGCAACCCTGACCCAGCTTTGAGTACCCCTAAAAGAATGACCTTGTGAAAAGGTAAATCCTGCAAAATGTTTTCCTTGAATAGTGTGTCATTTTAGAGAGATAGCCTGGAGGTTGGAGGCCTTGGACTCCTCCCATTTTGTATCACCTGTGCCTACAAAGTCACTGCAAAGTCAATTGCAAAGTCATTGTAATTAGTAGATGCTCATTAGAGATTTACTGTTGGTCACCTCTTTTGGCAATTGTATTTTTCATAGATCCTGTGGAGCTGCATCTCAGGATGGGGTTTTGTTTCAGAAAGGACAGGCTAAGTCAGAGTCGAGATATTCTGGACCAGGGAGACTGTCATACTGAAAGCTATTGGTAGATGGAGATGACAAATACAAGGTCCCTGCATGGCCTGGGAACCATGGTTTGGTTAAAGATGTACCCAGCACAGGTCATCCCTAGCCCCTGCGTTTTCACTTATGCTAAACTCTCTTAGATTTCAAGATCCAAAAATTTAAAAATTCTTGTAACATACCACATTTTCACCTTGATGGTGTCTTAGTATGGCACCTCACTCCCTGGTTCTTGTCAAATAAAAGCCTGGGAACATCCTGTTACATACTCCTGGTGCAGCTGGCGACTGAAGGAGATTGCTGAGGAAGGAGTGGGGCAGGGGGTGGAGGAAAGTGTCTGTAGATCGTTTTTTCTAAAAATCTCTAAGAATGCCACTCAGGTCTGTAATCCCATATTCACAGCCACTGAAAACACATGGATCCAGAATCTTTACAGTACATAAGCAGAGAGAACAGCAGTTGACTTTTCTGGTTTCTCCCATATGGAATTCCAAGGGGTAACGGATCAATGGGTCTCCTTACTACACTGAGATGATAGATAGATAGATAGACAGATAGATAGATAGATGATAGATAGATAGATAGATAGATAGCAAGAGAGCTTGTTCATTCTGCTCCTTCCATGGATCTGTACAGAAGAACCCCTCCTGCCCCCCAAGTTCCAGTGGAAACTAGAGATCCAAACACATTAGTGTATCCAGGGATGTCAGACAAGGGGCAGCTCTTCCAGAAAGATCCCTGCTGCCCTTGTTTTTACTCAGACATCCCTCCCAACACCAGGATCATCTTTAGTACCATGAGAGGGCTTTAAGTCAGCTGACCTGCACCATTTGCTGGTCATGTCTACACGAATCTGAGACTTTCCACTTAGCAGTTACGGATGGGTCAGTGAGATCCAGGTAGACCAACTCTGAGTGACATGATATCTCCAGGGTGTTTTTCCTGCTGTTGCTGATGAGAGAAGCTGGAACTGAACTCTCCCCTGCATTGATCCCCAGGGTCAGGTGAGAGTCATTTATCCCTGCTCAGACATCCCAGGGACAAGCAGGAAACAGCATAGCTCTGAGTATTTGGAAGCATTTGGGCAGCTCGTTAGGGTGAGCCCATGGATGTGGTAAGAGGGGAAGCAAACAGGCCTCATTCCTGGCGGAGAGAGCTTTCCTCTCCCACCTGAGGCTTCCAATGTCCAGACCCAGGCCTGACATCCTTGACCATGCTGCTCAGAGTTGCTCTCAGCTGCCCACTGCTAGACCCCAGGGCTTCCTCTATTGCAAGGCAACTGTGTTTCCTATTCATCCTCGCTTATTCCCTCCCCCAACTTGTCCAGAGCATTTAATCTCACCTCTGAAGTCTGTTTTGTTTGCCAAGAATAGAATCTCCTATTTCAAATATAGTCCTTTACTTTTTTTTTGTAATGCAATTGTCATTTTGACCATGCACACACTATACTATGCTGTTCTGAATGCCTAAGACTCTCCCATGTAGCAGTGATAATGAAAAGCAATTTCCGCTGTGTAGTTTCTCACTCTGAGAACAGCAGGACGTTCTGGAAATCAGAATGGGGTTTCATTTGACTCTGAATCTAGACAATCAAGTTTTATGACCTTTCAACTTGTGCTCTAATGCCAAAATATGAGAAAATCTGAAGAAACTGAAACTGAACCCTATAGACAAGAGAAACTGACAGAAGACTGACACCTTTCCTATTGGCACCTTCCATCTTGGCATCTTGGTCACTGGGAAGATCTGGAGGCATATCACACCGATAGCTCGATAAAATCCTTATCTTCTCACCTACTCCCTCCCCCAGGACTGGGCTCCATCAGGACTCTGCTGACATCTCCTTGGACAGAAAATCCAATGCAGTAAAGAGGGATCCTCAAATGAGGAGTAGCCATAGGCATTCATGTTTGGCCAAGTCTCTTGAAGACCGCAAGGTTTATCTTATGCCACTCTCTGTCCAGCTGTTGAACGGGGTTTATTGGGGAGGCAGAAAAGAAGAGTCTCTTTACTGGTAGAATAAAGTCATGGATGGACTTCCAACCCATTCTTCTTGTCTGGAGAAGACTGCCTTCTTTTCAGCTACCCTGTGCGATCCTTTGTCCTGCTTTCATTTACACATAAGTAGCTGGGACTGTGGAAATTGATGACACTAGTTTACAATGGCCTTAGGTGTCTGCTACGTCCATCCAGTCATGAAGATGTGCATTAAATGCACAAGGGAGATGAGAATGAAGTAGGGCAGGTGTTGAGACAATTTCTGAAAATATTCTGGGTGGCGGGAACACAATCTGGGAAGCAAGGGAACTGGAGATTTTCTCTTTTCTTCCAGCACTCTTTGGCAATCAGACTCATGGCAACATCTTCTTAGGTGGCCAGCAAGAGGATGAATAATGGAAGGCAGAGAGGGCTTCTGCCTCTCCAACACCAGGTGTAAAACCAGTGTGGGCACAGAACTGGTCAGGTCTGCAGAGAGAGTCCCCAGAAGACAAGGGGAACTGAACAATCATTCGTGTCTGAGAAGAAGACCTGGGCATGAGCCTTGGGAGCATAGTCGCCAAATCTCTTAGATTTGTCCTTGAGTGAAAGGCTTCATGCTGCTCTTTGTCACGTGACTATGGAGTAGCTGCAGAATCATCACCTTTTTTGACAAACAAGTAGGTCTGACCATTCTATCCTTCGTGAGGCTCCAGCAGCACATCTCTCCTGAAGGGGAGTGTGAATGACCTCCTCTTGATATTTCCCAAGAGGACTCTTACCCACATATATTCCTCCAACACTTTCAAAGTCGTAGCATCTAATCATTTTCTTCAAGGGAAGAAATCTTTCCTTACTACTACCTTGGTTGCAATGTAATCAGTCCCTTAGGCAGGTATCCCAAGATGCAGGGCCTGAGGAAAGGAGGAGGGGAGGCCACGTCTCTGGTGTGGGATGAGGGTTATCTCAAGACCTGGGTGATACGCTCATTTGCAGATGTCAAGCCAAGGTAGACTTCTGTGAACCGTCCAACACCTGATTCTCAGAGATCAACAACAAGCAAGCCCTTCTACTGGAGTCCCTTCCATTGGAAAACCTGTAAGACCCTACTCTGGGCCTTCCCAGTGTCAATCCTTTTCCGGGACCCTCCGGCTAAGGAGATTTCCATACCTGGAGTTAACCACTTTCCTTTTGCAGACTCAATTTTCTGCTTTCGGGACTGCATTATCCTAAAGTAGTCTGAATAAAGTACCCTACCTTGGGCTAGAACAGAGGTAGAGTGGGATGGGGTGGGATGTCAAGGGAAGGATGAACAGCTCAGGATTCCAGATTGCACGACTAGCTCAGAAGGCAGCTTTCTCTCAGAGAGCTCTCAGAAGCGTGGCCCCTGACAATTGGTATACCTTTCCATGTTTTGCTCTACCCAACTGTGAAATAGCCAGATAAAACACTTACCTCCACGAAGGACAAAGGGGCCCATGGGCCACTCTGCAAGTGAGTAACCTGCCAAGCACTCAACGGAGGTTGGGAGATGCAGCAGAAGACTCAAAGCATCATGGCAAGATGGGCTCCAGCCCCCATCCCAGACCCTCCCCCATTCAATCCAGGCTAGAGAGTGAGGGGTGGAAGGGGAACAAGGCAAGGGAGGGGCAGAGGCATGCATCGCATTACATTCCTTCCTTTATCTTCTCCCCACCCACCAAGGAGTTTGCACATTTACAAGTGACTCTGTGTGTATGGTGGGGGGCTGTGAGGATGGGGAGTGCAGGGGACATTGGTAATCGGATAATTGGAGCACAAGGCAGAAGTAACTCATCAGGGTCATGAGGGGTTGAGGCTGCAGTGTGTCCAAAAGGTGCAAAAGGAGGACGTGGAAACAAGCTATGGCTAAGAAGGCAGAGATGATACCGAAACAGGGTAAGAGCGAGAACACAGGAGGGAAAAGAATTTAAAAAGTCTATTGGTCAAAAGGAGTAAGGAGGAAAAGGAAAGAAAAGGGGGGAGAAAAAAACATAGTTTCTTTTTGTTGTTGTTGCTTTTCAACTTGTTTAGATTTTTTCTTTCTTTTTGTTGTTTTATTTTGTTTTGTTTTGTTTTTAAGGATCTCACACCTGCTAGTCCACGTTCCATCCATTTCGGTTCACCAAGGACAATGAAGAAATTCTCTTGCCTTTCGTATTCCTCCTCATCCACTATTTTAACCCTTACGGTTTTCCTGTAGGGACAACAAGAGAGAGAGTGTCGACTGGGTCGGTAGATTGGTTGGTCACCCGGAGCCCAGCCTTCAAAATCATTCCCCATCACTCCTGGCACATGCAGCTCAGTGCTGCCATGGTGGCTTTTGACAGGACTTGGTGGATTGTACTGCTCTTGTGTCAAAAATGGTCTTAGCTTTTCTTATCTCCTTGGTCATAGTTGTCCTTACAGGTGAGAGGGGAAGGGAGCCAGTAGGCAAGGAAAAGTTGGCAAAGGAAGGGATCCAGAAGGACAGGAGGGAAATGGGAAGGAAAAAGGGGGCTGATGGTGGGGAGGAGTCACTTTCGATCCTGCTGACGGTTAGTAGGAAGTGAGTTGGGCAGCACATTCCACTGGGTGTCACATGGTAATTGGCATTTCTTTGGGCAGTAGGTGAACTGCTGGCCCATTGGGGGTGACCCAGGGCTCTTCTATAACAGGAAATATGTCAACAGTATCTATCTAGGGGTATTTTTTCCCTTCCTTGTGTCTATTCCCACCACTTATGTGGGCCTCGGAAAGAAAATCTTAAAAGGAAAGTATTTATGAGGTAGGGAAACCAGAGAGAGAGAGAGAAGGGAAGGCAAGAAGGCAGAATTCTATTATCTTTCTCATTCTTTATCTCACAGGTGAGAAGTAAAATAAATATGTATTAATCACAATAGGATGTAGTATTCCTTTAATATTTACAGCTGATGCACTCCTGAAAAATGTGGTAAAAATGATGTAAATCATCAATTCTAAATCATCTTTGGACTTCTATCATATAGCGGTGATGTGTACCAAAGCTGGCTTAAATGCTGATTACCAAGGGTCTGGTGGACATGATAATGGAGGTTTCTGTTCATTTCTGGGTATCTCAACAAAGCACAGTGTCTTTTAATAAAACCAAATCATACGGGGAAGCAAAGTTTTCTTGAAAATGACTTCCTTCCAGAGACTGGCCTGAGGCTGGCTCAGGTCCATTGTCTTTGGCAAAGTTGCCATGTGGTCCTGGGTCTCCTTGTGTGGCTTCTCCTGTTCCTTCATGGAACCACAGTGGTGTCAACAGGTCCTAATAGTGAGCCCTAATTGTTATTTTCTGCTTTTTTTTTTTTTTTTGGTTTTGTTTGTTTTATTTTTGTGGGTTTTTTTCTTTTCTTTTTCTCTTTCTCTCTCTCTCTCTCTCTCTCTCTCTCTCTCTCTCTCTCTTTCTCTCTCTTTTTTTTTTTTTCTTCTTTTTTGGCCTGGGACCTAAATGCTCTCTAAAGGGCAAAAAGGTGCTAACAAACAATAGCCTAAAAAGTCTCATCAGAGCCTCTGATATTCCTGTTCCATTCTGAAGACAGGCTCAGCTTTGTGCACTTGTGGTGTGTGTGTGTGTGTGTGTGTGTGTGTGAACTTCTGGGCACTTTTTGGACACCTTGCTCATTGGACAAAATACAAAGCTCACTGATTGTCGAGAAGCATTTTCTGGGAATCTCTCTTGCCCTAGATATGGTACTGTAGGGCTGTCTAAGGGATGCGAGCCTGGCCTGTCTTTCCACTGCAGGGACTCTGCTGTGGGATGGGAAGGGGGTGCTTGCTCTGTGACCATGGGCATGGTCTGGAGGAGCACGATTGACAGCTCCCCCTTCCACAGTATGATCCATCCAGAAGAGGATTTTCTGACTGTCTATTGGAGGCTGGGGTGTATGGGGCCATTCAAATCAAAGGCAAAAGCTGCGTCCACTCTGAGAAGTCCTGTGACTTCTTGGGGAAGCCTCACCTCAGGTCAGAATCCTCTCTCCCACTCTTCTAACTGCCTTCACACCTAGATACCCTGCAGAGGGAAGACAGAAGACGGCAGGTAGGCCTTTGACCTAGACCTAGAACTCAAACCTGTACTTTCAGCTCAATCAAGGTCAGGGAGAGAAAAACACACTTGCTAGCAGGGATATGGCCGATAAGATGGCTCCTAAAGCCTGTCTTGGGGAATGGGATGAACCACAAACAGAACCCAAATACAAATACATTGATTGTCAACATCCAGAGACTATCAGCTTAGCCCTGAGAAGAGCTGCGCCACAGATCTCTATGCTGAGAGCTGGGCCAGTTTCCCAGGGCTGCCCTTCTGCCTGGGATTGCACTATCTTTTTCTTCCTTGTATCCTAAACCACTCAGGAAAAGTAGAGAGCCTCATATATGATACTCTCAGGGCTGTGACTGGTGTTTTTTTTCTCTCTCGCTTTCTCTCTCTTGCGGTTTTTTCCCCATATCCATTTCCCCATCCCACAAAAAAGTGCCATGGGCTGTTGAGCATCCCTCTTACAATACCATGTGACAGGCTGGCGGTGTTAGGACAGAGCTGGGTGCAGAGAGAATAGAGGGAGAGGGAGAGGGGAAAAGAGAGAAACAGAAAAGAAACAAGGGACAGTGAACCAGAGAGGCAGAAGAAAGGGGAAGAGAAGGAGACAAATGGATTGGAGAAAGGAGGGAACACAAGAGGTGTTAACGTTAGTGTGCAGGACAGGGTGCTACACCTTTCTGAAAACTCACATCCACCACGTGGGGGCCCATCATCTCAATGAAGTAATTCTTGTTTTTCTCATACGCCTCATGATCAGTTACCTTGATGTGAATTATTTTGCTGTGGATGGAAAAATAGGTATCATAAACAAGGGGCAGAGTGGGGGGCCAGCCAGCCAGGATAAGAAACGGAAAGGGAAAGAAACAGTGAAAAGATCCAGAAAAGTCAAAGTTTGCCCCAACACCGTAGGGACACAGAGGAGAGTGGCCACCCCAGGCCCCCTTCCAGCCCCACTGGGCTCCTCCTGGGCTTCGTGTGGCTTCACGGCACGATCAGACTGGAGCTCAGGCTTTGAAGTCAAAGGATCTAGGCTCTAATCCTGGATATGCTAGGTGACCTCGGACGAATTATTTCCCTGAGACACAAACGGGTTGAATAATGCATAAATTACACCATCTCAGGGCGGTCCGTGAGAGCTATGAAATAATACACATATAAAGGCTCAGGCATTCAGGTTCTCCTAAAGTATTTGCTTCCTTACTCTCTCTTGCTTCTGGGGCAAGGGGGAATTTAAAACAATCTTTTTTTCTTTTGAAATTAGCTGATATCGACTTGAAAGTTTTATTTTATAGAAAGGGCAGCGTGTGGGGGGCTGCAGTTGGAGCCCGTCCCTTTCTCTGTGGTCGTGGCTATCACAGGGAAGCCAGGAGGGCCATTTGGCTCAAGTCACACCTTCTGGTAATTCACAGCAGGCATCGAACACTACCGACCTGATCTCCAAATGAGCTTCTGAATTCAGAGGAAGACATTGGCTGGATCACAGGAACTCTAGGGCTCTCTGAATTAAGATTAGTTCATAAATCCTACAATGATCTTGTGACTAGCACAATTATGTTGTTTTTTTATGTTATGCTTTGTTAATTTAAACATTGAAAATTATAAACCAAGCCAGGAACCCTGTTTTGCATTTCTTTACTTTAGAAAAATGTATTACTAGGAGCTTTAAAAACAGAGGTAGACCTGAGCTCCTTCCAGCCTTTGCTAGATGAGGGGGACATTTCCGGATCAGACCCCGGACAAGATGTTTAAACGTCTCTCCCAGATGGTGCGAGACATTGCCGGATGGGGGTGGGCATGGAGCTGAGTCTCCCCTCAGCGGTGAGAAAGAAGGGGCCACGCAGAAGCCCTGCTCAGCTGCCCACGGGCATGCACCCTTTCACACACGGGTGCCCCGAGCGAGGCCTGCCCTTTGTTGAGGAGACTGAGGCCTTCCGCTCCAGCCTGTATTCTTTTGTATAAAGTAGGAATATTGCTACATTCTGACTTGGAACAAACTCTCAGCTCTCCCGTGTTTCCCAAGTCACCGTTAGAGCTTTGCATGTCTACAGAGCTTCTGTCGGCCACACTGTCGATCCTGTACAACCAGACGTGAGTCCGTCGCTCCTGAAGTGAATGTAAGAGCAGTTACTAACCCACCCAGCTCCCGCCACCCCAGTGCTTCAGAAACAGACTGCAAACCCTCCTCGCTTGCTACACCCACCCCCAGTCACAGGAAAACCTGGCTGGTCACCAGAGATCGTGTGAGTGTCCCGCCTCTGAAAGGCCACAATACTTTGGCCTTCCCTCCTCCAGGGCCGTGGCACTGGGATGGGAGACTGCGACCTGGGATCAAACCCAGCCCCCTCCTGGGCCTCAGGCAGCTTGCTAAAGCTCGCCAAGTCTCATTTGTAAAGTGGAATATTAATACCTCTTCATAGCGTTCTTAATTGAGAAAATGCACGCAAAGCACTTGGCAAGGTGTACGATTCCTCGTAAATATTTAATAAATAGCAACTATCATTACTAAGAGTAATAGGACCCCAGTCTGGTGGTTTGAGAGTAACATGTAAAGAAATCTTTTCATCTCCAGTCACTGAGTCGGAGAATAAAAGGAAATCAAGGCTGGAAATAGATGTCAGGTCAAGAAAGAACTGGATAAACCAGGATGTGAGATCCCAAATGGGTTCTTAGAGGGGCTTGGCAGGTTAAAGGTGGAAGCATGGAGACAGACTCTTATGTCCTCCCCAAATCTGGTTTTGTGCCCCTGTCAGTGACAAGCTCTGGGTTGGACACACCCCATGTCAGACACAGCACGGCTTGTGCTTGTTTGATTTTTAGTGAACAGATAAACAGAAGGAGAGAAGCCACTGACAACTTAGTTGAAGACAGGGAAATGAGGCCAGGCATTAAGCAGTGGCAAGAGAAACTTAGGTGAGCTAGGTGGAACCCCCAGCTGGAGGGTATCACGCGCCGAGGAGGCACCGTGTAAGACTCCCTCCCTGAGATGGCTCGTGCGGACGGCACCACATCTGTTTGGGCTTAAGGTGTTACCTTGCCGGGAGAAAACCGAGAAAGTTCGCAGTTCTGCTCAAGCCACACGCGAGGCCACAAGAACATTTACATTTATTAAGAGTCACCAGCCAGGCCTCGCGTTCTCTTTCCAAAC